AGAGAGAGAGAGAGAGAGATTTCGCGGGTTTCACCTCAGGGGCAGAAAACAGGGAGTTGACTTTCTCACCTGGAAAATCATCGATGGCTCCGAGCGACCAATGAGCTGCGACCTCTGAGAGAGAGGGCCGAGAGGAGGAGGGGCCAGGAGACAGACAGAGACACGGTGACGCTCAGGGACACAGTCCTCAGCTCTGATACTTTAAACCTGGAGTCTCACACGTCCTCAGGGAACAGCGCCACCTACTCTCTCCTCCTCTGCAGCCGTGGATGAGCAGCGCGCGCGCGTCGTTATGTAAGTTGGACACTTTTGTTTCTGCTCCTCGAGCTGGAGACTCTGGCTCGTGTCTGTCTCTGCACCGTGCTGCACTTGTGAGCGTGTGCACGTCGTGTGTGCGTGTCCATGCGCACGGTGGACAGATGTTGAACCTGATGTGGGGACACTTTGAACCCTTGGACAGACTCAATGTGACGAAGTGAGTCAAGTTCAAAGTTTGTCTTCGTCTCTGATGTTTCATACAAAGTTCAACTTGTCTCGTTCCTGATCTCACGTCTTCGTCTGATCTCGCGTTATTCTGAGTCTCAGGAAGTGAAGGAGCAATGATTTGACTTCTACTCTTTTATTTGGGCTCCGGTTGTTTCCTGACTTCCTCCTGGATCTGTGTGTGTGTGTGTGTGTGTGTGTGTGTGTGTGTGTGTGTGTGTGTGTGTGTGAGAGAGAGAGAGAGTGTGAGAGAGAGAGAGAGAGAGAGAGAGAAATTTCGCGGGTGTGTGTGTTACTGTGTGTGTGTGTGAGAGAGTGTGTGTTACTGTGTGTTTTTGTGTGTGTGTATTTGTGAGAGAGAGAGACTGTGTGTGTGTGTGTGTGTGACATGGAGCAGTCAGTTCAAGTTGGGGGACGTCACATCGTCCCGGTGAATTAGTAATTCTGTCGTCCAGCAGAGCTGAAAAACCTCACGTGGTCTAAAGATCATGAAAAATCTGTGAGCTGTTGAAACTTCATTAACATGAGTCTCCAGAGTTTTTCATTAACAGCTGCTTCTGTGACATTGAGGTGGAGTTTTGTCTTCTTCTTATGACACTGAAACATCAGTCATGAAAATACTTTCGCATCAACACCTGCTGCAGCTCCAGATTTCAGTTTTGCTCTGGATTGAATCTGCAGAAAGTCTTGATTTACACAGGAGACAAGTTTGTTAGATCTGCAGATGCTGAGTGACTGTGATGTTTAAAGTTGTGACTGTGATGTTTAAAGTTGTGACTGTGATGTTTGTAGTTGTGACTGTGATGTTTAAAGTTGTGACTGTGATGTTTATAGTTGTGACTGTGGTGTTTATAGTTGTGACTGTGATGTTTATAGTTGTGACTGTGATGTTTATAGTTGTGACTGTGATGTTTATAGTTGTTACTGTGATGTTTAAAGTTGTGACTGTGATGTTTGTAGTTGTGACTGTGATGTTTAAAGTTCAGTCCTAACAATTTAAACTACTCTAAAAACCTTGATGTTCAGTTAATGGATTCACACTCTGGTTTAATCAGTGATTGTGTTTGACTGGATAAACGAGTCCCTGTGGTTTTACTCAGACGTGACGGAGTTACAGCTTCAGTGATGCTGTTGTTTCTGATGGACGTTGGAGGAAACCAATCACAGAAATAAAAAGGTCCAAGGTCACACTGATGTTCCCTGAAGCCGTCTCAGGTGTTTTCAGATTTGACAAAACCAAAACACTGTTTCCAGATGAAAACCCAGTAGTGTGGATGAAGTCATTCAGAATCATTGTTGAGCAGGAAGA